CGTGTTCTATTTCTGCTCAAAAGACCATCTCTAATTTAAACTAAACCAATATAACAGTTAACTTGTTGTATAACAGCCAGGCAAGAAGTCGCCTCTGTTATACTCCCTTGTATGCCGACAAATGCGCCCTCTGGTTTTCGTAATTTCAAAGCGCTCGCTTTGCGCGCCAAATTCAAACTGGCAATTCGTGGAAGACCTTAAGACTCTGGAATCCCCGCTCTAAGAGCGCCTTTGCCGCCTTTCAGAGATAAAAATGCCAGTGATTTCAGTTCTTTTTTAGTCGTGTATTAAGTATATTTAAAATTGATGGTCTTTGTTCAATAATATTGCCTTTTTTGATGCAAAAATAAGCTTTGCTTAAATAATAATCATTACATGGTAAAATATTTGTTTTTCTTGTATGCATTTGCGTTTCGGGGCTTGTCGGTTACAGATTACATAAAAATAAACAAATAATAAGCGTAAATTGTACCTAGCAGAAGTTTTCAACTTTCAACTCTTAAATAATCGTTCTTAAACATTTAGATGGATGTGGATGTAATCGATGAGCGTGTGGTTTTGTGTGATATTTTTGTGTTTTTTGTTTTTTTTTTAGTTCTTAGCCATTTTGTTTCTGCTTATCATCTACAAATGATTAAGGGGTCTGATTTCGGGATCGGCCTCTTAAATTTAAATGACAGTGTTCCTCACGTTTTTAGATTATAATGCACATTTTTTGTTTGCTTGTTCGATTGGTAATCTTTAAAATTTGAACTAAAGTGCTTAAATAATTGAACTAAAGCCGAATCCATAAAAACAATAATAACTAAATAAAAGCGTTAAATTCCAAATGAAATTGTCTGTTTTGTATGAATGAGTGTTGGGTGTCTGCGAGAAACTTAGTCTACGGGATTAACAAATGAAAATCAACAAAAATCAACTTAAAAGCAGCGTGAAATAAATACCCCTATACGTCTATATATATACAATACGATAACACCCAAATTAAGATAACGAACTGTACGATCCATCCTACAGCATCAGTCGGGAGCGCGACTTCTTGAGCCGACCAGTGGCTCCGCCCAGACCATCGCCATTCCAGGACTTGGACTTGGCCCGGAAGTGGCGGTAGGCCTCGTTGTAGGCGGGGTCCAACATGGTGCGGTAGGCATGGGGTTCGCAGTGCTCCACATGCGACTCGAAGAACTCCTTGTAGCCGTTGTGCAGCAGATAGATCTCGGGATAGTGCAACGCCGGGTAGGCATTGGTGTTCCTCTCCCGATCCAAGTTCCTCAGGAAGCGGGACATTTTGGGTCCACGCTCCGAGGAGAACTCGCAGTGGAAGATGATAATGTTGCGCTTGGGTCCCGATTCGGCGTTCTGCTGCTGCTGCAGCTCAGTCTGTTGCACGGTGAGGAACTCCTCGAGGATCTGCTCGGTGGTGTACAGATTCTTGGCGCCCTCGATGTGACCGCCCTCGAATTCGTAGGGATAGCGGCAATCGATGATGCGGTAGCTGGCCACCTCATCGCTGAACTCGCCCTTAAGGAGACGAGCCACTGTTTCGCTGGAGATGCTCTTCAGATCCCGATGACGACCCTCCATCAGGGGCAGGGCATAGGCTTTGCTGAAGTCGCCGATCAGCTCGGGCTCGTTTCGGTTCTCCGAACGGGCCAAGGCGGACATGATCTCGGCATCGTTCAGGGACATGCACTTCCTCAGCGGTGGGGGATGGCTGGTCGTGACCTGGGTGATTTGGCTGGGTGGTGCAGGGCAGTTCTCCTTCTCAACGGTGGCGCAGCGATGGCGTTTGCTCTGGATGGGCGAGCAGTTGGCCGATGCTGGCGGTTCCGGGCGCTTGAAGCAATCCCGGACAGTCTCTGGGGTCTTTGGTGGTGGGGTGGAGCTGCTGGTGTTGCTCTCCGTCATGCTGAGGCATCGCCTCACCGAGGGACGGCGCATGGACAGGCCAGCTGGCGATTTGGTCGAAGGCTGCTCCTTGATCTGTCCGCTGATCAGCGAATTCAGACCACTGGGGAAGCCCAGGGCGGTCTGTTGGCTCTGCGACTCCATCTCGAACAGCTCCATGTACTCATCGTCCATCGAAGACTCCATGGAGCAGGTGGAGGACAGGCTGTTGAAGATGCGGAAGCTGCGAGCAGGTGTGTTGTGGGTTGCGACATCGTTTGATCCTCCCACAGCTGGCAGGACCTTGGGCTGGCGGACGATCTGGAAGCGCTGGGGCGAACCCTCGGGCGAGAGCAGACCCATCAGTTCCGGACTGGCCGAGCGCTGCTGGTCCTGGGGCGCAGAATCGTCGTCGTAGAACGACAGCTCCTCCTGGTCCATGCTCATCAGTTCCAAAGAACGGCGAGCACGACGAGATCCACTCATTTTGTTGATATTACTGGAACTGCTGGTGTTACTGCAAGGGCAAATGAAGAGAGGGGGAGGATTAGTCAACTGTTCGGAATCGAGAGAGCTGGTTTTTGCTTCCCTAAACTCTCGAAAGAGCGGGTCATTAAACCCAGCTAAAAATACTGACAAAGTGGTGGTGGTGGTGGCGTTGGTGGTGTAAAAACAACAAAAATACCCGAAAAAAAATACGGAGAAAGAGGGGATGTTGTAAATGGGTGAGAAGAGGGAGCTATTTTACAAGGGAGCTGTATTTCCAAGAACTAGAACTTTTAGGATAGGATATGTTTACGATATAAACGAAACTACATATAAACAAATTTAGATATTTTTTCAGGCTTGCCACCCATGGAACTCTCTAACTAAGTCAGGGAACCCTACTGCCTTCTTGATTCTCATGCACATTTGCGGTACTCCAAACGGAATTCCCTTTTGCTTTTCGTTGCATCTGCTTTTCAGCATGACTTTTGGGTCACACGTCACGCAAGCGCAGCGATAATAAAAAACAGCACAAAGAACCGCAAAGAACACGGGGGAAAAAAGGGAAGAATACGAAAAAATGACGGACTGACTGACGGACAAAACAAATTTTTCTGCTTTTTTTTTTGGAGCCTCGCGGAAGCCGGTTTAATGAATGAAAAACGGCAAGCGAACAACAACAACAGCTGAGCGCCAAAAAATCGGGCAAAAAGTAAACGTGCCGAGCGTGATAAAAAAAAAGCAAGAGCGTATAAAAAACTCTTACTTTTGTTGGCCCCACATCTTTGTTGCTGTTGCTCTTGAACTTGCACTTTTCTTGGGGTATTTTGAACTGGTATTCCTGGTGCAAAATAGTTTTGCTAATCCTTGGGGCGGTGTAATTACCTGATATTGCAATCCATGCTGCAGTTGGTCTCCTCCACAATAGTTTCCCACAGCATTTTGTTGGTTTTTTGTTTGTGTGTTGTGTTGGGCGTTTCGCAAAACTGAAGATTTTTGATTTCGTTAGTGAGTTTCTGTGTTGTTGCAGCCGAAAAATTGCTAAAACACAATTTTATCTTGGTCACTCTTCACTCATTTACAGTTGTTTGTTTTAGATGAGAATTTTGGATGGTAGTCCTTGCTTTTTGGCTAATATTGCATTTTGTTTGATTTTAGATGTAGTTTTTTTTTGTTAATGTGTCCGTTTCAGCATGTTTTTTGTTGGTGTGTGGTTGTGCGAGGGTTTTTTAAAATAATTTTTTGAACCGCACAATCTCAAGTCACCGAACGAGAACCGAAAGGTAGAACAAGAAGAGCTGTTGACTCGACGAACTCGACGACTCGGCAAATGGAATACGAATGTGCTGGTCCTCTCCGAGCAGCTGGTTTTTATAACTGCACCCCGGCCGAGGATCGAGAGAGAGCGAGCGGCAGAGAGCGCTCAGCTGATGCGGGAGAGAGCGAGTTAGTTAGTGTTTTGTTGTTGCAGGGCGCCTTTTTTTCTTAGTTCTTGGTTCCTTTCCTTTGATTCCGTTCTCAAGAAATAGAAGTGTGAAGGAGACGGGAGAGACCAACACATAACGGCGCGTTAGAGTGAAACTAAGACTAAGACAAGACCGACCCATGTGCAGAAGGAAATATATAGGGGAAATAGGAAAATCGGGATAATAAGGATTCGGAAATCTCTGCCGCCTCTTTGGAGCGATCCCACTGCAACAGGTAGAACCCAAGAATCCTTTCCCCTACATTTCCCCTTTTCGTAACCAACCGAATACACCGAGAATCCCTAAAATCCCGAGAAGAAACAGGCGCCTTGGTGGTCGCCAGCTCTATGGAGGCCCTGATTTTGGCGCGCGAGCTTTTATACACAGACGCGTACTGCCGAAGTGGAGCCGAAGACCCCAGCATTGGAGCCGAAGACTCGAACACATGTGAAAATAGTGGAGCCCTCGAGGGAAGGGGCAAGGCGAAGAGGAGGCTGAAGAATCGCATCGCGCGAATCTTTAAGCAGAATTTCAAGGCGGCATCGATTGTGTCGTTTGCAGGTAATAATGTGAGATCCACGCATTCCTGGTGTCCCGTAACCCCCAAGCCCCTGGTATTCTTCACCACCTCGCCTCCTTGGACAAAAAATCAGCAGGTAGTGGCCGCAGTCATATGATCGCCGCATCGGCGGGATGGGGCGGCTGTGGAGGGGGCGTGGCTCCTTTGTGTTCTGCAGACGTAGACGCCAATGTCGTTAAATGAGCAAAGCTTCCAGCCACAGATCCCGTTTACAGGGGAGTCCATAGAAGACGAACTGGATGAAGTAGTTGAATGGGTAAGATTTTGGAAATTTACTATTAAAATACCGAAAAGCACGTGCTTTGTCTTAGTATCGCGAATCAATTTATGGGTAATCCGATTAGGGTTATGAAATTGGTTGACCAAAAATGATTTTCTTATAGAATTGCGCCTGTAGCTTTGTGTTTGTGTGCAATCGCGGCAAAGTTAAAGCAGAAATCGAGTTACATATGCGCCGAGGCCCTGCGGGAGTCATTTCAGTGGATCCAAGGGGTTTTGTTGGGGGACGGACACCCATGGGCTGCAGTCCGAGTGTGTTTTTGTAAAAACTCCAGCGAGCAAGCGCAGGACAGCCAAGTAGAACCATCCTATATCATTCACATAACTACAAACCTTGCCAAAAATAAATGATATTTTAATGGACCATTGCCCAAACCGCCAAATGAGCTACGGTTTCATTCCGCTGAATTCCTTTGGTAAGCTTTTGTTGTTGCTGCAGGAAGAGCCGAGAGGATCATCTTTATGGAAAACAACCAACAAACAGGGCAACAAAAACAAAAAAAGGACGCAGAAATCATAAAGTGGTTTTGAACAAGTTAAAAAAGCGCATAGGGGAAAAAAGGAAAGAAAAAGCTTCGAACACAATCTCATTCATAGTGAGCCGTGCAAACAGTGGGTCAAAATTTTGGTTTCTGTCTGGTAAAAATGAAATTTTAGCGATACAAATTGTATTAAAAATAGTTTTTAATTTTGTAAAAAATTTTGTATAGACCACTACAATGCTAATTTTAAAAGCCCACGTGTTTAAACGCTGTGTTTTGGTATAGTGATCCAATTCGTAACCCCTAATGGGTACACCCAAAAGGCCACGTTTCATACTTTCGCCCCACGAAATATACACTTTGAGATTATAAAACAGCGATATACAAATTTTGTATATTTTTAACTGAGCTCTTTTCCAGACTTTTTTTACCCAGCCCAATCATAGTTTTGGAATTATGGATTTCAGATACCACCGTGATATCGCCAGCCTCTCCAGAATCGGAGAGCAAAAGGGCAAAGCGGAGAAATCAAAAACGTATGCAAAAGCACACTCACACACTCGCCGGGCTAACACACACATGAGTGTGGGTAAATTGGATAAAGAATGAGAATAGGCTGCGGAGAAAGAAATTGCAGCAACAATGTGAATGGGAATGGAGCACAACAATAGCGGGGGGACCTGAAAAAACCAAAAAAAAAAAAACTCACAGGACCAACAAAAAGTGAAGAGCTAAATTGTAAATCGAAATTCCAAGAAGTGAGCTTTGAGCATCGGTTTTTTTCGGTTCGTCTGTGTATTAAAAAGCCTGTGAAGTGTGCGAAAAAAAGCGTTTGAGATACTTTTGCGCGCGCGCGCGCATTTCGCAAATCACTGCGAAAAGGGTTAAGGGTGGTGCGGTGGGCAGGAATGGGTTAAAGGCTGGGCGGTCTCCTTTGCCCATGTGTGTGTGGCAGACAATGCAATGCAATTAGAAGAAGGCGCAAAGAGGAGCCAAGGATTGGATGTCTATGAAGTTTAACTTTTTTCTTGTACCTATACTTTATTTTATGGTCAATTTAAATAAGGACTGTCATTACATGCATATTTATAATACATATGTATTTTTACTAACAAATTCAATTTTTGTATCTTTAAGATACATTTTTATCTTTTATATGGAAATTGAAAAATCGGTATCCAGAAATATTATTACATGGGTTATCAAAGTTTCATCATATTTTCTCATCCATACAGGAAACCTTTTTTATCGATACCCAGAAATTAATTTTTCTAACATTAGAAGACTCAGAATTGTGCCAAAATCATAAGGAACATCTTTTGTTAACTGCCCCAAAGAATACCTTTCAAACAGATATTTCCCCTACTCTACCCCCTGCTAAATATTAACAAATCTCAGGGGAAAGGTGTGGACAGGGACAGGGGAAATCTCCTAGTACATAAGGTGGGAAAAGAAGAGCAGAGAAGAACCGCACACAGATACTGATTAGACCAGAAATACCCATGGGCACAGGACGAAGAACAGTTAGACAGGGATAGCGGTTCCCGCTCTCATATGTTCGATCAGCTGATCAGGACCGAAGGATATAAACAGCAGGGAAACCGAATTAGTCCCGATGCGTGAGTGTGAGTGCGAGTGCAGGGGAAAGAGAGTGGGGGGAAGGATAAGAAGGAGCGTTCACGACATGCGCGCGCAAATTCCTTAACACGAGCTGAGAAGGAGAGAGAGAGAGGGAGAGAGAATCGAGGGGGTGGGGGCAGGCAGAAGGACGAAGGAGGCGCGCTGCTGAGATTTGTCGGGAGAAAGAGAGGCTGAGAAGTGCAGCGCTGCCGAAGAAGTAGGTGAAGAGCAGGGAATAGCCTTAGTTCGTTTTTTTTCCTTTTTGCGCCAAAACCTTTTTCGTACTAGTGTGCGTACTTGTGTGCAGGACTCGTTTCGGTAGGAAAGAGAGGGGGCGAAAGAGGAGTTCGATCGATCTGTATTCTGTTTATCTTTCGCTGCCTTCTTCTCTGACCGTGATTCCTTGCAGTTGTTGTCTTTTTGCCTTTTCGTTATATGTATTTTTTTAGTCGCATTCTGTTCGTTTTTCTCGTCTACAAACTGATTGTGAGAAATATTTTATCTTCGAGATACATTTCGTTACTTGACTTTCCGCCGTTGCGTGTCGTTCCACGGTCCTCTTTCATTTTTCATCTCACTTTGCCTTTATGGTCTTGCCCCACTAATTGATTCTCTGCATAAATTTTATTTAAAGCTTTAATAAATGTCAAAATAAGCAATTCATTTCGATGTTAGAGAACGCACACCCATATACTATATGCGCGGTCGGTCCATTGTCAATGGAATGAAGCTCTCTCCCGGGCAATCAATTGCCGGGTTCAGAGTTTAAATGTGAAAGAAAGCTGAATAAGAGGAAATCAATTGTCCATTAGTTCTGAATGGGATCTGGCCGGGATCGCCATGGGTGGGTGTTGTGTCATCATGTGATTTGTGGGAAAGGAAGTTGCCGTAATCAACAGGAAGACGGGTGTTCTGATTGCAGGGACTAAGCTTTGTGGGGCTTAGTACTTGAGAACCATTGCCCTGTAGAAAGGAAGGCTATTAAAGCCTTTATCGATCCATCAGAATGGCATACCTATAAATTAAGAATCTACGATTACCCATGAATATAATTAACGTTAAGCATAACCAACATATTTTTATAGCTCTTGTGATAAAGCACTATTTTAAAATCTTTTTTTTTATACTTTTTTGATAAGGAATCAGAAAAATATTCCTAGAGTGTTGGGACCCCACTCTGGATTTCTTGATAAGCTTGGCTCTCCAAGTTCCGATGGTTGCAGTTGTTTGTTTGTTTGCTGGCGCAGCTCTAGGCAAATGTTTTTTTAAAGCATTGTTGAATGATATGGAAATTCTGACGCTCATATCTGAACTATACAGCAGCCTCAGGAAGTACTAATCAACGTTTTTCCTCTGTTACTACTCTCTGTTCCGTCACTCTCAGTACATATTTTTAACGGCTGGGCGGTTCAACAAAAGTTATTATTGTGTGGCAACACCGGAGAGTGGGGGAAGTGGGGAGTTCCGTATGTAGATCAACATACATTCGCTGTTCGCGGTCCTCTAATAAGCGAACAATGTTCTTGACATGCTTAGATATGGCACATGTTTTGCTATGCACTTTGGAGGGCTATCACAATTTTTTAAATTTCTTTGCTCAGAATAGTATAATCTTTTGGAATACACATGGCATTAAAAGTTTTCGTTTAAACCTAGTTTATTAAACAAGTTTATTTTCTTAATTGTTATATATGTATTGCCCTTCTAAAGCCTAAGAGTATCCAAGCTTCGATCTTTGAAACCAATCATACTTTTATGTTTATTTAAATATTTTTATGAGTCTTGCGCATTTCAATTCGATTTTGATATGCCTGTCGTTCAAATCGGGGTTTCCAGGGCAGTTCGGGGTGATGCGAAAATAAAGATTAGATTGGAATCCGAATAGGACTCATCTGCCTGCCACATTGCTGCCAGGCGAAAGAAAAGCGTTGCGATGAGACCCCATCAAAGAGCACACGCTGAGTGCCACTTGAGTTTCCCAGGCCTTGTTCTATAACTCCAATGTGATCTTTTTTGGATATGCAAGGTTTCCCACAGCACCCCCTCCCGGCCTTTCGATAGTTCGATATTGGCAAACACACAATTAGTTTGTGTTTTACTGGCAATTTTCTATATAATTTGAATAGTAGCAGCGGCCGTTCCTTTGTCCCAGTCAAGTGGATGGTCATTTATTCAGGACTCGGCACATGGTCGGTTCTTTTTTCCAACTCCGCACGGTTTTGTTTTCGCCAAAAAGCAATTTGGGTCACAATGTGTGCAACAACACAACTAAAACAAGTGCCAAACAATGAAACAGTTTTGATCTCCTTTCCGTCCGGCAAATGTCCTTCCACAAATGTCCGGCGGGTCAGTGCAAAAATATTGTTGTTCTTGTCACATGCAATCCGAGCGATTTGGTTCCCACACAGCAGGCATTTGGGATCTTTCCTTTTTCTCTGTTTTTTACGAGCCTCGGATGACTTCTCAAGTGGTTCGACTTTTTGGCGCGCAAATCTTCGGCTGTGTGGCCCAGATATAGGGGTTCTTAAAATAGCATACACTGTAACCTTGTCGCCAAGCGGCCAGATAAGAGTTTCGAATAAATTATGACTGCCTTGGGAGACCAATGATGCAATCTTTATGTGTTTTATGATAGAGTCAGGTTCCATTTGTAGGAGCTGTGCTAATTAATAATGTAATTTTGGGAAAAAGATGTTACTAAAAGTAACTTGAAACAAAACAAACAATGCTGACCAATCAAATATTTGATTCTTATGATATAATACCCTATCGTCTGCTTTGATTTCTTGATCTCAAAGTCCCTTGCTATAACAATAAACCCCCTGCGTGTGATCTATTGCTCACCCCTTTGATGATGGTCAATATTTTATTTGTATATTAATATCAGCCACGCGACTGGCCTGCGAACTGACCACTGGTCAAGCTAATTTCCCGGACCAAGCCAATTTCCAGATCGCCCTGGGAAATGTCCGAAATTAATCAAGAAAAAGGATATAGGCAACCCTCTGCCGGTGGCGAATCCTTTTTACCCCGATCCCTACATGTATGCACAGCATGTAATTAATTGATTAACGTTCTTAGGGATAACATTATATTCCCGGGATTGATGTGAGCCGATCTTATCGCGTTACAAACTCGAAAGCGGCGTAGCCTTCAACACATTTGGCCCAACCCTTTCGACTTCGGCGATTTGTTTTTCTTATTTTCTTTGGCCAGTCCAGATCTGGGACAATGAATATGGGATAAGATGATGAGGGAGGGTTGGAGAAGTTTTCGGGCATCGCTGGATCCATTCGAGAAAGCTGATCTTGATCTTCATCTTTCATGTGTTGCCTAATGCGCAGTTCTTGTGGTTCTCGGAAATAGTCGGACTTTTGACAAATTCCCCATGACACGACGGGAAATCAGTCAAAAAAATCATCTTAAGCATGTCCTGGTCCAGTGATTTTTCAATGTCTTGCCGAATTACACAGCACATTAGACGACATCGATGAGCTCGTGGTTGTTGCATAATCAGAAAGCGGAATTTCCCTCAGGCAGCTGCACCCATTTCGCACCATTTCCATTCCCAGACAGGATAGGATGGGGTGGTATGGTATGGGATAGGATGGGTCCTGGGATCAGGACAGCCCGTTCGCCTTGGAAGGGGCAAGAAGGCAAGCAGGAAAAAAGCAGGAAAGCCAGAAAGCAAGTCTCAGCAGCAGGACGACCAATAGCATTGTTTTACTAACAACATCAAAGTTATGACAAGATTTTGTCTATCACGTACCTCTCCACCCCAAAAATTCCTGGCGGAGGGAGGGTTATGGAACTCGGGCGATCGACGGACTGTCTGACTGCTCCTCAGTTTCCTTTTTCTTTCCCTGACTGACAGCGCCTTTCCCTTCGCTCACCTTGAGATGCATTACGATTCGAAATTCAAATTTAATCGCATATACAAATTTTGTTTATGTGACATGGGTGCATTTTACCCCGCAGCCGTGGGATGAGTTTCGGAAAACTTGAAGATCCCGATCGCCCCTAAGACATCAGCAAATGGTCCATGTCAATTTGCAATTGCCTCCTGTCCGTATGCAGTTTCCAGTGGTTTTCGGGTTGGGTGGTGTGAGGGGGTTGCATAAGAAAGTTGATCTTCTGGGAAGGAATATAGATTAATGAGGAATCTCCTTCTTGTCATGAGAGTCTAAATTTGGCCTGGTTTTCAAGAAGTACATGGGAAAAGTGCAAAAGTCATTTGTCATGGAATTAAAAATATATTCCAATAAAATTTTCTATGTTATTACCTGTATTTTCTAAGATCCTCTTGTGGTCCTTAAACAGAGCATATATTTACGTTGCTAGTCCCAGAAAACCCGGATAGGACACAAATTATAATCCCATATTATAATTGAATGAAATTTAAGAACATTTTTCTCTCTTTAAGTCTAAGGGTAACACAAAAGTGATCTCTAATAACTAATCCTCCATTATAAAAATAGATACTTAACAGTTTATAACGAATGTATCTGTTGGAGGATTTCTGAAAATCCATAATGAAGAAATTTAGTGATCAATAACTGATAGAGGAATACCTTCCTTGAACCTCAGGATTATCCGATGAGTGAGCAATCATCTCTCTGAAGCGAAAACCACCAACGGAACCTCTAAGATTTTTCATCCAGAATTTGAAGGCGTTACAAGTGCAATCACATGCTCATCGCATGGATGGTTGGACTGCAATCTTTTGCCAGAATATCTGTAATTGCACACATTCAGCACATTGTGGCCCAGACAATGGGCACATGACGTTTATGAATTCTTCGACAAGTATACTCCATCGATCCATCAACAGATCCTAACCATCCTCGCCATATGTGTGCAATATTAATCTGCAAAACAGAATTTTGGGAGTTCGTCTTGTCATCTTTTCTTCGTTTTTTTGATACTTGTCAGCGCCTGCCGTTGGGCACACAAATGAAGTCATTGTCAGCAGTTGTCAATGCAGCCACACCCACGGCCGCCCCCCGCCCACTAACTATGTAGATGAAAATTCGAAAAAATTTTAAAAATAATTCCCAAATTATGGTTAAAAATGCTTGTGGCGGCAAAACAATCTGAGCTGCCACTGAGAGCGGGAAAAGGTTTTTTTTTGTTTTGAGGGTTTACGGGCTTCTAAAAGGAGTGTCCGCCGATCCTGCCCATAATTAACTATTCAAACAATGGGCACGCACAAAGGGATCAGCAATCAAATACACATACACACATTCGGAACTTGGTATTTCGAGTCACGTTTGCTGACACAAATCCTTCTTAGGAAAGGCAATATTTCCTAGTCATTGCCGATGATCAACTCAAACATCATCATCATCAGCAGGAGCAACCTGAGCCACCTGAAGATGCGCACAGTGTTGGCGGGTTCTGATTTTACAAATTATCTAACACTATCTGAAAAAATAGCTAGGACTTCAACTTAAAACTGAATATTCTTTTTTAAGCCCTTACGCCGATTTATACATACATACTTGAAATGCATGATAAATATATGTATACATTTTGTTTTAAGGATACCATCCAACTTTTTCACTGTTCTAACAAATGGTATTTTGTAATTAATTTACACATAATTCTAAAAATAAAATATAATTGGAACATCAATAAATCCCGAAATAAGTAATAAATATTACCTATATTATACAAATTTGGCTTTAAAACCTCCGAATTGGCATCGCTGGATGGGAAACCTTATTGACAGGTCCCCCGGTCTGTGCATACCAAAGCGGATTGCGCAGATTTCAAAAATGTTAGAAACGAGAAGACAGCCACAACAACACCGCTGATTTTTGGGTACGTGAGTTTGTCTACCTATTGTTCGAATCTCAGGGCCCGTAGCTGCAACCTGTTCCGTGCACTCGGCGTAAGGTGTTCCCTTCCTCCCGCGATCACACCTATGTATCGCATGGGGTATTATACCCATACCCATACCCCGTTCCCAGATCCGATGCGAGCTGAGTTCCCAGCGTGTGTGTGTCGCTTGCCGAGCATCAGCCCAAGTCCGAGTCCAAGACCATATAGCCTTGACAGCCCTGGCTCATAATTCACTCACTGCAGGTTTGAATTTCTACAAAAATAACTTCGTTTGCATGGCATGTCTGGGATTGCGACTCGCCTTTTGGTGTGTCTTTGGGGTCCGATATAAAGAAATATCTTCACATATATCTATAATCTGCAAAGAGTCATGTGTGCATAGTTTTCTGACTTGATTGCTCAGCGAGTGCTTAAGCTTGTTCGTTCTCGGGGATCATATTCGAAAAGGGAGATATATAAGAGGTCTTTGATTGCCTTGCATTAGAATTCAAATACGATAAGATCGCGTATGAATGAATTTTAAAAATGTGATGTCAATTATAAATTGTATAAACTTTTCGTTTATTAGTTTTCTATTTATTGAGTTTACAATTTCTTTAATTTATTTAAAACCATTATAATCATTAATATAGTTTCTTCCTTCCTTCCGTTTTGCCCGCTTAAAATATCTCAATTTAAATATGTAATTTGCCACGTCTCACCTCACGCCCACAAAAATAAACAAACCCATAGATGGTGATCTGCATTTTCGGGGAATCCTTTCAATTTGGCACGTGTGCCGGATACAATTTTCATAGCAAATTGCCATGGAAATCGGCGGGCACGTACTACGCTGCCTTCTCCTATACTCTTCTATTTGTCCCGCATGAAATGTATTTATTCTCGACAAAATATATTATTGTTAATATGCATGGCTTACAATACAAGGCCCCTTTTGTGAGCGAGGATCGAAAGGATGTGCGATTGTATTTGCATTAAAGTGGCATTGTTAGAGGGCCGGCATCAGGATATCAAACTCGGAAAGTGTAGAGGGTGTGTATGCGCCAGCAGATCCTTTTGTCAGTTCAAATGCGCGAAAGTGTGGCGCAGGCGCAGCAGGAACTGAATTTAGATCAGCTTCAGACCCTGCTGCAGAATCGAAATCAGGACATCAGGACGCACGTGCGTTTGAAAGTCCTGTACGCGAAATGGGAAGCGTTCACCCCCGGGCTGGAAAATGAAAACAAGTGAACGCCATTTCCGCACGGCTCGAGTCCTTTAATTGATCCTGCATGGTGGTGGTGGTAGTGCTAATGCTAATGGTGGTGCTGGTGGTACGGGTGGTGATATTGATGGTGGTGGTGGCGTCGTTATCCTGGTACAGTGCGCAAAACCAGCGCCAGGATAATGCGCGTGTGAATTCAACGGCTGAGCCTGCGCGAGAGGGTGGCATCGCTGGTGCCAGACGTTTCACTGAAAGAAAAATCTATTTAAAAAGTTTGATGATATAGGAAATGCCATTTGGAGTTTGAGGTATTAAGTACCAAATTCCAAAGACCGAGTTCCTGCTAAAAAGGACCATATTTGAAATATCTATATTAGTATAAAAGTTCACTGAAGTACTATTGACTTCCTTGTCATAATAATTCGTTAATAATACTTATCTATGACTTTGTACTTGATAGTCTTAAAACAAATCAATATTTCTTTATTAAACCAACCAATAAATAATATGTTACAGACTGTATAAATATAATCATGAGATCAAACCAAATTTTCATAATAGAGCAGACTACTCCAGATTTTCAGGCTTTTGCAGCGGTTTTCTGTTCAGTGTTTGATCGGTGGTGGTGTTGCTGCTTTTTTGGGGTGGTTGCCAACCCCCAGGATATGGCACGTTCCCGTTGTAAGTTGTAAACAGGCAGGTGCAGTATCATGCTGGCGGCGGTTGATGATAGTCCCATAGTCCTCCAGTCCTACAGTCCTGTGGCTCTGATTTCGATTTGCTACTCCACTCCGCCGCTGGTGATGCTGCTCCTACGGGCGGCAGCTGCACTCGAGTCCTTGCAGAGTCAACGACCGTGTGCAGCTTAATCAGTGAGTTGATTACATGGGTGACATAAATCAGGGCGGTACATCAGCAACATTAGAGGCAGCTGCAAAAGCTTTTTATTCCCTTCTAAGCAAACACAATGTAACAGTTGGGTACAGTCTATGCTTTGTGATAATTGCCTGACCACAAAACATCGAGATAATCCCTTGTTACAAAACTGTACAGTTCTTAGTTCTTAGATCTTATATTATAAATGGCCAATCGATGGAACAATTGGTATACAAATTACCACAGACTTGAAATCATATAAAAGTATATTCATGAAGTACTTGATGCCTTGCAAATTGATCGGCACCCTCTTTCAATATCGACAGCTGCAAAAGCTCTGTATCCCCGTCCAAACAATCTCGAAATCGCAGCTGGGTATAGTACAATCTTTTCGATATTCGCTGTGCAGGACAATAGTCAAATTTGTGCAATAGAACGGCAAGCAACTGACCACAGGAACGCAGGACATTGTCGGGCACACCGGGCCATCTATCCAAAAGTAATCGGCACGAGGCAAGGAAACACTCTGCTCTGGCTCCCTCCGAAAATCCAAAAATCATATAAATTACTGGCAGGACATTAGCTGCGCACAACGGTAATCATTGCGCAATGTCACCAAGAGCGGCTGTGTGTGCAAAAATCTTTTTGAGGAAAGAAATGGAATCAAGAAATCAACAATGCATTGCACAATGGACGGCCAAGGAAAATCAGTGCAACACCGGGCTCCTGGCGCACATCTTGCAGTTCCCTTTCCTCATCGGGGACAAAAGGACCCAATGTTTATGCCATTATTCTTCCGGCGCACATCGGCCCATTGTGTGTGGATATGGCAGCTATAGCTCGCATTCTCCGATTCTGCTGCCGGGCAGCAGCTTCCATCCCCGATCGCCGACTTCTTCCGTCTCCAAAATGCAATCATTGTAATCGATTTTGCACAATTTCCAATGCTCAAGACAGTCGTCAAGAAGTCTTAGGGGTGGCTAGGGATGCACTGAAACAAAATGTGGTAAAATATAAGGGTTTTATTGAACAAAAAACAATAAATTAAGAACGCTTTGATATTTTAAATATTTTTCTGAGTGTAGCCTTATAGAAAATTTAATAAATAATTATAAACATTTAATTAAAATAAAAATTTTAGATAAAATAACCCTTGATTTAAAGGAATATAATAAGAAATACAAGATTGACACATTTTTTCGGAATAATCCATTGTGTTATAAGTTGACGAATAATTATAAAAAAATATTTAAACATTTGTAATACTTGAGATGTAGATAAAAGAACTTAAAATTTAATGAATATATATAAAGAAGAAAAAAAATATTCTTTCATTTTAAATAAAACATTTATAAGTTCACATTTTTTGGCTTGGTGTAGTAGGTCCTTGGTAGGACGTAGCTAGACGCCGCCACCTGGAAGAACACTACGTTTCATCCCCCTGAAGTCCACAGCTGATCGTAGCTCGTGCCAAAGTGCGCGGGGTTTTCGTCTTGAAGGAGGAGGCCAAATAAGTGTAACACGGCCGAGCCAAGCGGATCGAGGAGTAAATGCAGCGAATAATGAGGTCCTGCCAGCCGGCTTTACCGCTCCTTCGTCCTGCGACTCACCCTCTAGACTCCCTCGACTCCTTCGATCCCACTCCTTCGCGTCAGAGTCAGCCTGACACCTTCAATTTGTGTTTTCCTCGGCACAAGCCAAGAACCTTTCGTTACCAAACATCTGTCCCATATTTTGTGCGGTTTTAATGTCCGCACTGCGGACTGATGTTTTCTAGGTGCCAGCGACCTTATCGCAGGGCGACAAATTCGGTAAGTGATCCCTAGCTAAAAGGGGTCTCCAAGTATTTACAAAATACTATCCCCCAGCAAGGGCCAATGCCTTAATGGCCTACCAATGCTCTTCGGTTCTTACCATCAATTGGAATTGGGTATTGCTGGCTAATGAGTTCGATTGGGGAGCTAGCATTTCTATATCCACAGGGGTTGGATCCCCGCCAATTGAACTCTTGTTTAGCATAATTGAGCTTAATTTGGAATTATTGACTGCTCCCCACTTCCGATCCATTTTCATAAGCACTTAATGGGCACAAGGTGAAAATAATATTATCCTATGCAAATATGGGGCTTCCAGCAGCTTGCATTTGGATTTTCCGTTAAAGAGAATAACCATAAATATGGTTTCAATACTAAGATAAGCCCTAGAGTATTCTTCAATTACTTGGGGGGAATTAAAGGTAGAAAATAATATTAACACCAAACGGTTAAATTATTTTAGTAATTCTAAGCAAAGACAAGTAGTTTTTTGTAAGGGGGTCTTAAGAACTGTTCTTCCTAATACTCAAATTGCCCTAACAACTTGATATGACTTGGTATAATCTTGAGGTTAATATATAGCTCAAATATTTGTTTAATTTCTCCAAGAATATTCGTAGACATTTTTGGAACGTACAGTTCAGAACCATGTTCTGTTTTCCC